CTGAATCTTTGGGGCCCCAGCCGGGGAGCCGAGAAGCCCCAACAGAAGCCAGATCCGAACACCATCTCTTTAATACAGATAGGTACACCCATATCCGTTTCCCATCCATTGAGTCTATACACTACCTGGCTCCCAAAGGTCAAGCTGCGAGTCACCAACAGCTATACACGCGGAAAACAATGAATCCCAAAACTCCTGGAAATCGTTTGGCATGAAGGCCTGCTGCCGAAATTACTCACGCGGCGATTCCACCCGCTCCTTGTATCGTGGCTACGTTTCCTCAGCAAGAGAACTATCTTCATCCGAGTTAATAAGGCCCTATCTCGGCCATTACCTGTGAATGCCGGTGTTTCCCAAGGTTCTTTACTTTCTCTCATCCCCTTACCTCTAGTTATTAATGATCTTTTATCCAAAACCTCTAATCCCATTTATTGCTGCATTGACGATGTCACTCTCTATTGTTCTCTCTCTCTCCTAACCCACGACCCGCCAGGTCACTACCAATAACGATCACGACCGAAATGTCATCAGTGCTTCTCTTGCCATCAACCTCAAAGCCATCTCCTCATGGGATTCTACCAACCACGTGTGTTACGTTGCTTCCAAACTTCTCCCCTCTCTGTTTCTGTTAAACATCTCTTATTCTCCCCAATTTATGCTTGACTCGCTCCCCCTCCGTTCTAAAAATTCCGTCCCATGGGTTTATCCAAAAATTCTTCTCTATTTATCTCCTTTAATTTTCACACTCGCCTCTCGCGCTGCACAAAGTCATTTTCCTATTACGTGTCAGGTGGTTCTTTACAGTTGAACACCATGTATGCAAAGCTTAAATCTACTCAATGCTCCAATAATGCAGTCACGTATGAGGTGAAGCTTCGTATTTCGCTGTTTCTCTTTTCGATCGTGTTCAACGTAATGCCATCAGATATTCGACGAAGTCCTTACCTTCCAATCCGCAGTCAATTTTAAATCGCCAAGCAATTGCTTTGGTATCTCTTTTTTATCGCTACTATTTTGGTTTCTGCTGTGTTACTGAACTCGCTTTACCGGTTCCCCTCCTTGTTTTCTTTTCTCGTCCATCTCGTTATTAAGTGGGCACTCACCCCTATCAGATTTCTTTCCCCAGACATTCAACTTCTATCTTCCAGTCCTCTTTTATTTCCCAGAACTACGAAATTGTGGAGCACTCCTTCCATCTCCGTACTTCCGAAAACTCAATCCTACTCTTCAAAAGGGGGATAAAAAAATTAATTTTCCACTAAATGCTACCGTAAATACTTTTCATCGTGAGGTATCACCGACTATGAGGTTCACCCCTTTTGGTGTAAATCACTGTGCGTAATAAAAAGCTCTATATGACTACATCCGGATTAGTCTGTTGGAAAGTATGCAGAAAACATGAATAGGCACTGCTTATTTGATTTTTGCCTTCTAATTCTAAATGAACCTTGGAGTTTCACTGCACATAATCGGCTGTCTACCGAAATCCATTCCGATAAAACACCCATGGTCTCAGCGCTCAAGGCAATACCAATGTTTGTTCGATCAGACGCTAACACATCCCAGTGACTGGAAAGATGGAAATTAATCGTTTCCTTAGGGTTCGAGGGGGAAGCTTATCGGATTGGTGAGCTCGGACCCCAAAGGTGTTTTCGAAAGACAAGACAAGATCTCAAGATTTTCGAGCGTTCCAGCTAGACCTGCTTGTTTTCCTAAAAGAATTGATGTTCTCATGCTAAAGGAGTCCAATTTGAACGGCAATTGAGGTAGGAGGAATTGAATGGTAGGCTTCGTGTGACAAAGTATTGTCTAGACAGCTGTTGAAGAAGATAGTGGTGGGTAACGACCTTCATAGTTTACGTTGGTTGAAGCATGCGCTACGCATGTCGCCGAATAGGTTTCCACGGCGAGCGATGTTCACCGAGGTAGGCAGCGGGTGGAAAAAGCCAAGGATGGTCAAGCTAAGACCTGGCACGAGGGTATGAAATCCCTAACCAGGAGACTCCGTTATATAGGTCCCTTCAGGATCCCTGGATGAGGGCCTTGGGACGATCGTAACCGATGGTTAGAGAACAGTAAACAGTGGCGTTTGTGCATCCCCTCAATTTCTTTGCAACCTTAAACCACTGAGATTCTCCGTTTTCTGTTCGACTCTACTCTAAACTTTTTCTATTCTTCACCCAAATGGGCAGCCAAAAGACAGTAACCAAAAACGCCATACATAGGTGAATGATTGATGATTATGCATACTGAACGTAACTAAAACTAACTCAACTTTGCACTGACCACAGATTGTTCCTGTCAAGCAACAGCTTCTTGCGCAAGAAACGATACTACCTTACATGGAAACCACCAACCTCTCCACAACTTTGGACCCAAATCAACCACATCGCCATCCGTTACCGCTGGAGATGGTCGGTTCAAGACTATCGCTCTCATTGGTCAACACTTGTGGATACGGACCACGCTTTATTACGAGCCTTACGACTGGCGAACGACAGCAATAAAGCCACCGTCAATGGATACCCGCGATACAAAGTTAGTGATAGTTGCAAATCGGCCTTCGAAGCAGAGCTCTTCGATCGCCTATCAGTTTAACCACCAGCCGAAGGACTCAATGCACACTGGAAGCAAATCAAGGAAGCTAAGCAAATATCAATAAAAACAACAGTGAACGCTGGTGCAGGCTCAAAACACACAATGGATCTCGTCGATCTCGGCTGCCCTGCTGGATGCTCGCAGAACCCTTCCTCTTGATGTTACATATGAAATAGCGCACAATTTCCTTCAAGGCCAGCTCATCAAGAGTCTGAGGAATGACCGGGGGAAATGATGGGTAGGAAAGTGTAGAGATGGAGAAAGCTGCCGTTATTTGTAATAGTCGCACTCATTCTCGTTTAATTAGGAATACGGGCACCAGGAAAATAGGCGTGAGGTAATTAAGGAATCCGATGGCCCACTAATTCGTCATCAGTAACATCGTCTTGATCCATGAGCTGAACATTTCGGGGCTTAGTTTAACTGACCCACATTGACACCTGACCTAGCACCCACCCACCTTCGACTGGGCAAATACTCCCAGTTGATGCCAATCCTCCATCTGAAATGAAGATTTTCCGGGAAATAAGTTATCTCAAAAGGCATAAGGCCTTTTGACCAGATGGGCCGTCCCCATCGAAGTTTTAGGATGGATGCTCAGTGTTAGTCTTTGGGCTGACAAAACTATTGGACTCAGCGTGAGAGGGAACAGGTTCCAACTGAATGGTGCGAATCGGTCAGCTTACCGATTCACAAGAAAGGTAACAG